CCACTCAACCACTATAGTAGGCAATCTGGGGTAAGGCCTTACCTCTAGTTTTTACATCATGGGGAAACCCTTTCTATAGTGGCTTGCCTGGAAGCACTGGGAGGGATGTGTTTTGCTTGAGACGAGCCCCGCATTGTCGGGCAGGCATATTTTGCCAACCAGGTGTGAATCCGGTTCTGTCAGGAATCCGTCGGCTTGCCATGTTGTTGAGGCGGTTTTTCACATCACCTTTTGGGATCGCCAAAAAGGGATCGTCCTTTCAATCTTTAGGCCGACATCAAGCGGGTGTCCTCCAAAAGACACATTTTCCTGGAGGTGGGGGAATGTTTAATGGACATGTACCTGGAGTCTCCATGACATGGGGTGATTGACCCATTTTTAAAGGGTCATAGAGACTCCAGGTAGGGAGTTGTGTGGAAGGGGTTCAAACACGTTCCGGCAGTTTTGCTTCAGCGAGGATGCGGCAGAAGAGATGGGCCAACCACATCAGCCTCTCGGCCACGAGTCGGACACTGGCCCAGCTTGGGCCTTCAAAGGGGCCGTTTTCACGCGGGAAAAATGTGGTGTTGTCCTTCTTGGAGCTGGCATCTTTGAGTGTTTTGAAGGGATACTGAAGGGGTACCAATTGCATTCGAGGGGTTCCACATGTTTTTTTGACAGATGCAAGTGCCCAGGACTGAAACGAGATCGATTTACACAAATGTCCAAAATTGGTTTAGACCCCCAGAATTCGTGTCCTTTGGCTTGGCTCAGCCATACGGATGTTCAGACACTCCCGGGTCCCAATACGTTGTTCAGACCCTGTCCTAGTGTTTGTGTTCTTTTTTTGAATCATGTTAGGGTGTGTTTTTGAGGCCGAAAAGAAGGAACTCATCCCCTCTGGGCTTTCTGTTTTATCTTCTTCCTGAGCGTTGAATGGACCTGACATGTTGGCCCTCTCAAGCAGCACAGGCGGGTGCATCTCGCTCTGTGCTTTGTTTGCATTGTCATGCAACGTACATGCACCTTCATGCGTCAGTCCGATCCGTAGCCTAGTGACATGAAGAGGGAGTGGGTCTTTCAGGAGGGACGCGCGAAAATGGCATCGGTTCTACCCTTGCTTTTCCCTTTTATCTGGGAATACACACCCCATAAATTGTCCGGAAGCTAAGCCCCAGGGCGAGTGGAGCAAGACTCAGCAGGATACTCTTAATAGTCTGGCTCCACAAAGCCCCAGGTCCATCAATGCGCTTTGCCGAGATGGCCCGATTGACCTCGTAGCCGTGGTATCGGTGAACCACCAAATTTTTACGGAATGGCACATAAATTATTGTGTATGTGCGATATAGTCAAACCGCCAAGAGGAAGAACGCGAGAAGTTTCAAAGCGTCTGACATAGTACCTTTGCTGCTTTGGAACACTTTTACCTTGTTGTTTTGTGCGTTTTCTTCATACCTTCTTGTTTTCTGCGTGTTCTTCATACCTTGCGTTTCTAGTTGTTCAAGCTTGAATCCGAAAACATGCGGGTGTTTGTCTTTTTGGAGGTTCGGTACCTTTTTCCCAAAATGGAACACCGTGGCTCCATTTTGGGGGTCCCAGCCCAAGTACTAAGCAAAGGACTTGGTGCCGAATCCTCCAAGAACCCGTATAATCCAAGAATTTTCGAACATACCTTCTGAGCACACCCCAGACTTTCCGCGGAGATTCCTTTCATAAGGCGTCCATATGCTGAAAAGGTGTGTTGGAGCTTGGTGGCTCCCAGACATTCCCTTAGCTTTCTTGTTTGTTTCTTTGTGTTTAGGGGGGATTTCCATTTAAACCCCACTACCAGTCAGCCACTTTTCGTGGATCAGAAAACGGACAGCCCAGGCTTCCCCAGAATTAGCTCCCCTTTTTGTTTTTGTTTGCTTTTTTGGGATCCCCTTTGTTTTGCACAGGCAAATATATTGTTTTTTGCTGGGGACCTAATTCCAGCCAAGCAGTGAGGGTCCCCAAATCAAAATCAACCAGAAATTTATTCCTCCGGGGTTAATATTAGTGGTAAACTCCTCTACCGCTATTGGGTTGGATCTTTAGACTTTAACTTTTTGGATTCCCTTCATATTTCCTTTTAAGCAGCAAAAAGTTAAACTTTTTGCTGGGGGATCTACAGCACCCAAGACTCCGCGAGGCTTCAACTGCGCCTTGGCGGCTTGTGAGAAGGGCAAGGACTGGCAGAAGGCTCTGGAGATCCTCGAGGCAAGGACTGACAACTCGACGACTCTTTAGCGAAGCGCTCAGGTCAAATTTAGGCGACTGGCGCATTATAAACGTACCAGTGACTGCGTTTTTTTGGGGCTGGACCATTTGAGTCGAGGTAAAACCTGAGCAAATTTAGCTCTTTAATTTTGAGCCACGCCTAGGTGGTCCCGGCTAGGTGCCCTTTCGCACGCCTTTTTTGGTTGGGAGGGTTCCCCTACTAAAATAGACAAAAGAGAAAAAGGGCACCCTTATTCTTACCGCTCTACTGGAGGACCTAGGTTCAAAACCTACCTGTTCACCTTTTGGTTTTCCAGTTTTGTCCACGAGAAACTTTGGTGTAAGGTACCCTTAACGTGCTCACCTTGTATTCCTAGGTTTGAGGGGTGAGCAAAAGTTAAAGCTTGAGCTTAACATTTGGGGATCCACTAAGCTAGTTTGAGAAACGCCCTAAATTTGGGCGACTTGTGGCGCAAAGAAATGTGCCAAAACGGCACCTTGGTAAACGGAAGGACTAAAACCTGTGCAACCCTAGCTCTTCAATTTGGCGCCACGCCCAGGTTAGGATTTTGTCAGGTATCACTTTTCACCAACGATTCACTGTGGAAGTCGAATTGATGGCCTTGTTGGTTTCGAAAGTCGATTTGGGGCCTTTCAACACCAGCTGGTTCTTGCGTGGAACACGGGTCCCATGTCCAACTTGCGTCCTTTTTTGTTGCAGCTTTGGAAGTTGTTCTAAATGCACAAGGGTCAAAGGATTTGGTTGCAGCATGTTGCAGGACAATTTACAGGAAGTGGCCCCAAAACGCCGTAAATACTGTGGATGGACAACAATCTGCACCACTTTGAAACTACGGGAAACCAAAGGGGGCATGATTTCATTTGTTTTAAGTTGTGCAGGATTTCATCCATGCACAGGTTGTTTTCCGGTCGAGTTTCCTGTACCCCAACCCTTTGAAAGAGGATTTCCAGTTGCCCAACTCGCTTCTCACTTCCCATGGAGTGAGTGCCACTTGAGGGTATCGGGCCCAAACAAACGCGCCGGCTGGAAACCAGGGGCTCCCCTTCTCAAAACCAAGCGGCAGACGCACCAGAGGATTTGCCTGAAGACTGTCCACAGAAGGACTTGCGGATGGGCAACCAAAAGGGCGAGCATCCATGTGGCTCTAAGTTTCAATAAGCCCGCGGAAGAGTCAAAGCCTCGTGATGTCCACCAAAGGATCCTCCATGTCAAATGTTTAGATTCATACACATTTTAGCAGACAAGTAGCAGCTTTCTGCCGACTCCACTGAGAATGTGGGGCAGGGAATCACCTAGGTTTGGGGAACGAACCTAGAGACAACAACTGGTTCATAGCTGTCGCTTGAAATTCTCTGCCACAAAGAAAACACAGGGCCTTCTTTGGCCTTAGGTCCATCCAAAATTCCTGCCCTAATCATTTGGGGGTCTTTGGAGTTGAAAAGGGCCCGTTCCTTGTTCGCTCAAAGTGAGGACCCCCTTGAGCTTTGCTTGTGGTTCCGTAGGGCTCCCTATCAGGTCCTTCTTTGTTGTCTCTTGGGCTCAACAAAGGTTTTGTTTTATCTGCTATCCCAGACGCACCATTCTAGAAGTACCTTCCTCAGTCTTTCCAAGGATCCTTGTCTCAGGAAACCAGCAAAAACCCAATGTGGAATCAACCCCTAGAACCATAGGATTTACCTGAAGCCTGTCACCGGATGGACCTGCGGATGGGCAACCAAAGGGCGCCGAGCTGTCTGACAAAATCCTGTTGGGAACCCAAAGGTGTTGGAAGCTCTTGAAAGTTGCCACATGAAAACCGGGCCCAAAAGGTGGCTGTCGGAACCCCGTTTGGAGGGAAAGGTGAGATTCAAACCATGCTGATCCGCAGGCTATGCAGAGCAGCAGCGTGCCTGCGGTCCTTTGCCTCGCAAGTCTTGGACGTTGTTGCTGTTGTTTGTTGTTTTAGTAGTCTGTTTTTTGTTTTGTTTAGGAGGGGAGATAGTTTTAATGGAAATCCCGCGGGTCACTGGCCAGAACATATAACATTAACAAAGATAGAAGTGGCAGCTGCTTCCCAAGACAATATTTGCGTTTGACCCCCTTTTTCAGAAAGCCACGTAAACCTGCCTTTCAAAGTTTGCCAACTCGACTGGCAAGTCTTCATGGGTATACCAGCTCGATCCCTGTTCAGTTGACTGGCCAGACAGAGTTCGAGCTGTTTGGTTCTTTACCGACAAAGTGACTCTTCATCCAAAACAAGCCCAACAGTTCCGCTTACCAGCTGTCACCTTGCAAGGCTATCCTGCCGAGTCGAATTCCCTGAAACGGTGGACAGATGGGAAGGGGTGGCTTTTGACTTTGTTAGGGGCATGTTTCTTGTTGAAGCGCCTTCGCCGACAGAGTCGATGGTGCTTCTGCGAAGGGCACCCTTTTTGGCTTGTGTGAAGAAACCAATAGGACGTCAACTCCGTTTCTTGGGTTTCGAATTGGACGACCTCCCGAAGTCCTTGGGGCAGTAGGGACTAGTTGGGACTGTTTGACTTCGCTATCAAGCAGTTGAGGTTGTTCAAAGGGGCCTGGAAAGGGGTGTGCTCTTGGATTGGTTGGGTGCCCCCAACTGCCGGACTCCATTATTTGTTTTGCCCGTTTGGCCCTTGATGGTTCGTTCATGTTCCTGTCCAACGAGCCAAAGGTTATCTAGTGCCAAGGGCCACATTTTTTAGGGTACACTTTCCGGAGTTTTGTTGGAAACCACAAGGAAACCAACCGATTTGTTTGCCGAGCCATACCCATTTGGCCGCTTTCCGCTACGCGAATCCTGCTCTCAGCTTCCATCTGCCATCCCCCGCAGTCGCGTCGCGGCATCGCAGTTAGCCATGCCGGTCTGCCCCGTTTGCTTCGAGGATGCTGAGAGCGTGGAATATGCGACTCAGCCGGTTACCGAAAAAAGAACCGAAAACAACCAGGCGACGGATATTGTTGGATATTGTTCATTGTTGGGTGTCGTTTTTGTTTGGTTCGGGATATGTGTCTTTGTCGCTTTAGAAGATGAGTCTCGTTGTTTGGGGCAGGAGAACACGCATCGAACACATGAAGCAAAAGTAAAGTTGCATGCCTGGAAGTTCTGCCCCCTTCTCAGTGGGATTGCGGAAAGGGGTGATTGGGCCAATGCCACCTGCTATTAAAAGTGACGCAAACAAACATGTCTCAGAACCCTGCACAGGAAGCTCCAACGAACAGGCGGTTGCTCCTTCCAAAATGGGGCTCTCTCTCTCTCTCTCTCTCTCTCTACAAATTTCGAGTGTTGTTTTTGGGTGAATGCTAGTCGGCTCGCACCGAGCATGCAAATGCACACGTGCTGGGAGACCTTTGCTTGCAGAAGACCACCGTCCTTTTCGAGGGAGGGAGCCTGGGCACTTCCATTGAAGGGTAGGTGGCCCTTCGGAAGAACATGGACATCAAACAACCCGGGCTTCAGCAAATCCGGAGATCAAAGGGGGTGCGCTCTTGCGTGGTTCCATGTCGAGGAGAGTAAGGTTGTTGTTAAATGGTGCATGTGGCTGTTGATGCTTAAAAGAAAGAGGCTACGTAAAACAGGAGCTTGGCAATTCTGTTGAGCAGCCGGTTGGCCATTTTGAGGTGATTTTATTTCCTGGTCTAGAGCTTGTGGTGGCCAGAAATAATCTTGGAGCGCCATCTCGTGGACCATTTTGGAGGGTCTACTCCTGATTTGAATGAGGGCTTGGCAGAACCCCTCCCAGTGGCCGCAAAATGTCTGCTTCTGGGGTGGACCCAAAAGCACCAGCAGTAGACATCCAAGAAAACAGCATACTGAGTAGCATTAGTTCGCGTAACCATGCAATGGGCTAGCACACGTTTGGATATTTTTTTGCAGGGAATTGGCCGCAATGAATGTGGGGTGCACGCGCCAGTTGATTGTTACAGGCCAATGCCTGGCCCAGTTTGTCAGGTAACCCGTACTTGGTGGTTTGGGATTTGAACGGGTTCTTGCAACCCCCCGAACCTGTAAACCACCAAGCCGACAAATTTGAGGGTAAATGAAAACACGTCGTTAAACCCCGATCACCAAAACACCAGTCAAAACCACTTAGAGGGAGCCTAAGTCCAATGAGAGTCACAATCACAACCCGGGCAAGTGAAGGTTAGTAAGGGACAGTCCCAGCCATCTGAGTCCAAGGCGACCATGCACAACCACAGCTGGAAGAACCACGCCTGTGACGGCCATGGCCTTTGCTGGCGCTGCCTCGCCCAGCACGTGGAGATTCAACTCCTCGAGGGCCGCTACAACGTGAGGCGCGAGCGACAAAACGGCGGGCGAAGTCGCTCACGTGTAGCCTATGACTACCTGGAGTCTCCTTCTGACCCTTCAAAAATGGTTGGTCATTACCCAAAATCATGGTTGGTCATTGACCCAGTTTTAAAGAGTCATGGAGACTCCAGGTATAACGTTTGTTGGTAGAATCGGTTCAGAAACCAGGGTTTCTGAACGGTGGTGCAGGATTTGGTCCATCCGCAGTATTTGCCCTGGAGATCCCTACTCCATATTTGCGGTTTTGGGTTTGGGGAGAACGGAGATTCATCAATGGATTGCTCAAATCCGGCACAGATACGGTACTAAGCGACCCTTTGGGACAGTTTCGAATTCAAGAATTCGATCAAACTAGGCCCCCAAAAGGCTTCCTCTTCGACGCTTGGAGTTCGTTTAAAACCAAAGGGGGGTTGCGTTAAAGAAAAGACACGCTCATCTTAGTTTCCAAGTTGGAGTTTTGTTTCATGTTTACTTGGTTCCCAGCCACCTCAGAGTTTAGACTTGGCTTTAGAGTCGGACTCCTGTCACGGTGGCTCGTCTTTTTCGTCCCCTGTTTGGACGGGTTCAAAGAGAATCCAAAACGACGAGCCGCCCATTTTTCGCGGTCCGAATCCCAGAAAAACCATTCGCCAGGTGGACTGCGGCACACCCTCCCCCCAGTCAAGGGACGCCAGTTGCTTCGCAGTATTTTTCAACCAACTTCAGGACCTGCTCTTGGTCCCCCAGTAGTGCCCTTTCTCACCCTTTTTTTTTGGGGGGGGAGGGTTCCCCTACTGAAATGGGCTACAGAAAAAAGGGTACCCTTATTCTAGCCTCTCTACTGGAGGACCTAGGTTTTTCAACCAACTTCAGGACCATAGGTGTCTTTTTCGGTTGGTTTGGTTGAACAATAGAGGGCGATTCCTGGTTTACCTGGTGGTTCAATCAACTACCAGGGCCATCTATTTTCCCAAAAAGGACGCCTATGTTCAGGACCTGCTGTTTGTGTGTGTCTGTGTTGTCGCTGAGGTTAGGGACGGTCATGAACGAAATAGGGAAGCATGATAAGAACTAGATTTGTCGAACACATTCCAATCTCTTGATAGCAACACCGTTTGACCATTGATTATTCCATGTTGTTTATTGTTTGATTTTCCGCTTGTCTCTTTGTCCGTCTGTCTCTCCGTTTGTTTGCATCTCTATTCCCCTGTTCAGCTGGTTGGCGCAGGTATTCGGTTGGCTGGCTTGTTGACCATGACACTGATTCTTTGATTATTTGAATTTTTGATTTGTTTTGTTGTTTGTTTGATTTTCCGTTGGTCTGTTTGTCCTATTCTCTCTATCTGTGTGATGTATGTTGTTGTTTTGTTTTCCCCCTGTTCAGTTCGTTGGCTGGTTGGCCCCTTGCGAGGTGCCCGGGCGCTGCGGGCTGCAGCTACCGCCTGGTGTCTTTGGACGTGGGCCGCGCCCTCGATGTGCTCGAGCGCGAGGATGGCAAGGAGGAGGTCGTGGGGACGCTCAGGCGCGGGTCACCAAAATGGGTTGATGATTTTTTGAGAAACCTATGAGAGTTTCATGCTATGAAACCAAATTGAGTCATGACTATAGGATTTTATTGGGGTGCGGATGCGGGGTCGCATTTGTGTGCGAAAGTCAGCGGGTCCCCGCGCTGCCGCACCAGTTGGCGGAACCAGTGTTTGATTTACGTGGACGTATACTTTTGGCGATTCGGTTGGATCTTTGGACTTTGACTTTTTTTTGGGGAAAGCAAGCGTTTTTCATTGAGCCCACAAAAAGTTAAGCTTGTCGCAGAGGGTCCAACAGCAACAAAGTATACAATCAAAATAATTATCATAAACACAACTTGTTGAGTTCTTGGATGGCACCTGGAGGGTTACCTCTTTGAGACACACCCATTCTGCGTGTTATTTTTTGTGGGCTACACTGTGGAGCTAAGGGAAACCTAAAGAATGCCACCAACCTATGGGTGCCAAACTTCTTTGACACATACTCCTGTGGAATTTTGTTTTTGGGGTACCCCAACAACAAAAGCAAACAATCAAGCAAGCAAACGAACAATCAAACAAACAAGCAACCACACAAGCAAGCACAAACAAGCAAACAAGCAAACCAACCATGCAAGAAAAAAACAAAAACACACACTAAAAAATCACGCAGACAGACAGACAGACAGACAAACTAACAAACAAACGAACAAACAATCAATCAAAACACACGCAAACCACACACAGACACAAAGACACATACACACAAAGACACAACGAAAGAACTATATAGATAACAAAACAATGAAAGACATGCATAGTGAAACATTCATGGAAATATTGAAATGCAGAAACACCAATGAAGAAATGAAATACACAACTAAAAAGTACAGATGTATATAGAATAAACAAAGTAATACTGGATAAGCCCACAATCAAGCAAATCAACAAGCTAACAAGCTAACAAGCTATCAAACAAACAAGCAACTACATGCACAAACAAACAAGCAAACAGTCAAGCAAGCAACCCAGCCAGCCAGCCAGCCAGCAAGCAATCAAACAAGCAAGCAAAGAAACAAGCAAGCAAGCAAACAAACAAACAAACAAACAACACACGCACAAATACACGATAACACCAAGACACAAGCAATCACATAGACAACACACAGAAACACACAAGGGCACAAGAACGCCAAGACACAAACAAAGAAAACAATCACAAAGAAGCAAACACACCACCAAGCAAGCAACACATATTACAAGTTTCTGAAGGGACCCTTTTTGGGCACGGCTCCAAGTTCACCCGACCTTTGCCTCGACGGCGAATCGAAGGCTCCGTTACGAGCAGCTGCGGTCGGATTGCCACCAGCACCGCCTGCGGGAGCTTTTGAAGAAGAGCCAAGGAGCCAACGAGGCGGGGGGCCGGACCGAGCCAAGGAGCCGAATGGAGCGGAGGTGACATGGCTGTGGTGGTCGAAACCGTTTTGGGCTGTGGTTGTCAACACCGTTTTGGGCTGTGGTTGTCAACACCGTTTTGGGCTGTGGTTGTCAACAATTTTGGGCAACACCGTTTTGGGCTGTGGTTGTCAACACCGTTTTGGGCTGTGGTTGTCAACACCGTTTTGGGCTGTGGTTGTCAACACCGTTTTGGGCTGTGGTTGTCAAAACCGTTCTGGGCTGTGGTTGTCAACACCGCTTTTGTGGTTGTCAACACCGTTTTGGGCTGTGGTTGTTAATACCGTTTTGGGCTGTGGTTGTCAACACCGTTTTGGGCTGTGGTTGTCAACACCGTTTTGGGCTGTGGTTGTCAAAACCGTTTGGGCTGTGATTGTCAAAGCCGTTTTGGGTGTGGTTGTCATTTTGGGCTGTGGTGTCAACACCGTTTTGGGCTGTGGTTGTCAAAACCGTTTTGGGCTGTGGTTGTCAAAGCCGTTTTGGGCTGTGGTTGTTAAAGCCGTTTTGGGCTGTGGTGGTCAACACCGTTTTGGGCTGTGGTTGTCAACACCGTTTTGGGCTGTGGTTGTCAAAACCATTTTGGGCTGTGGTTGTCAAAGCCGTTTTGGGCTGTGGTTGTCAAAGCCATTTTTGGCTGTGGTGGTCAAAACCGTTTTGGGCTGTGGTGGTCAAAACCGTTTTGGGCTGTGGTTGTCAAAGCCGTTTTGGGCTGTGGTTGTTAAAGCCGTTTTGGGCTGTGGTGGTCAACACCGTTTTGGGCTGTGGTTGTCAACACCGTTTTGGGCTGTGGTTGTCAAAACCATTTTGGGCTGTGGTTGTCAAAGCCGTTTTGGGCTGTGGTTGTCAAAGCCATTTTTGGCTGTGGTGGTCAAAACCGTTTTGGGCTGTGGTGGTCAAAACCGTTTTGGGCTGTGGTTGTCAAAGCCGTTTTGGGCTGTGGTTGTTAAAGCCGTTTTGGGCTGTGGTGGTCAACACCGTTTTGGGCTGTGGTGGTCAACACCGTTTTGGGCTGTGATTGTCAAAACCTTTTTGGGCTCTGGTGGTCAACACCGTTTTGGGCTGTGGTTGTCAAAACCTGTTGGGGTCTTATTCTGGGGTTTTCGGTGCACCACCCATTTTGGAGCCAGTTTTAGTGGTTGGATTGGGAGGTTCACTGGGGGTACGATTTGGATTTTGACCCATGGCCACATTTCTGGGTGGAGTTTAAAGGGCAGCCAAAAGGGAAGCCACCTAATTGTTGTCCTTGGCCTTTGGTCCATAGTCTTTGACACCATTCTGCGGAGGGGTTGTGACCTTGAAAAATGGGTCCATAGTCAAGGTCACAAAAGGAGATCACCTTTTTAAAGGTCCGACAAGTTCAAGAGAACAGGGCGTATCGTTTGGTTGAAAGGAGCCGAAGGTCATGGGGGCACACCTGCTTTTGCTGGGGTCTCCTGCAAAATACCCCAAATGGGCCAAGACCACCTCCATTTGGAGACAAACCCAATAACATGGGGAAAGTTGTAATGTCATCTGCCCAGGGGTGTTGAACCGTTGCAGTGCCAACCGAAAATTGGAAAAAGGCACAAACCCCTAAATGAAACGAGCATGCGCGATCATGCGATCCGTTGGGATGTGTAAAACAGCAACAAGCTACCAAGCAACCCGACAAAGGGGCGATGGGGAACCCAGTGGATTCCAGTTACCCATATAGTAGGCATGACCAGCTATTTTGTGTTCGTTTTGAAGGGTGGTTCCCTTGGTTACCTACAAAACTAGGTAAAAACATGGATCCACTGCGGAATATCATGCTCTTGGTGTTTAATGGTTTCAATATCAGCTTGGGGTCTGGCGAATGGTTTTGGGTCGGAAAGGTACGGTTTGCACGCTTCCGGTTGCAGGTTCAGAGGTTCTCCTCGAAACAATTGGCGGATACTCCGTGTTGTTTTAGTTCATTGGTCCGTTCCTAAGAGCAAGCAGTCATGCTCACAGTCCAACATTTGAACAGGAAGGCAAGTCAAACTGAGCGTTTGCAGCTCCTTTTTGCTTTACCTCTTTTGAATGGGGTAGACATTTTGAATCCCATGGTTGAGCCAGATCGTTCCTAGAGCCACTATCCTCCGAAGCAAACTGGGACACCCTTCAACCGAAGGATTGCCAGGGCTCCTCAACATCACCCCCGCCCCCGCCCCCGCCAAGGAGACTCACTTGAAACGCCCTCAAAAGGAAATTGGAAAAAAAAACACTCCAAAGCGAAAATGGGTGTGTCTTGTTCTTGAGGGTACCCTTTGGAACGGTGTTTGAGATTTGTTCTAAACGGATTTTGTCACTATTGCACATTTGTATTTTTCCAGGGGGCAAAAAAGCAAATGAAGGCAGAGTAACCAATGGGACGCTTTTACTCCTCCCAGGCCTGGCTCCTCACTCGAGTGCAGCCCTGCCCTCGCTGCCTCACGCTGGTGCGCAAGGAGACAGGGTGCCTGTGACGACCAGAATTGGCCATCTAGCCGTTGAAAACAAAGTCTAGGTCCCTCAGTAGTGCCCTTTTAACCTTTTTAGGGGGAGGGTTCCCCTACTAAAATAAACTACACAAAAAAAGGTACCCTTATTCTGTCCTCTCTACTGGAGGACCTAGTGGTGGATCCCCTTAGCTGGAAATCACGGCCCACGGCTGGTTCTTCTAGAGGGATCCAGCCCGGGAACCCGCCATGGACTTTCGCCTTTCGATGCGAGCCAGTTGCACTTCAGTCGCCCCAAACTGAAGAATTTGATCGGTCAGTATGGGGTTTTACATCCATTGCATCCGCAGTGTGGCTGTTCAAGCGTGGAAATGTGCGAGCAGCGCACTTGGACGGTTTGTTGTTTCCTTTTGGGCCCCAAACCGGTAACCCTTGAATCTATAGGTTATCAGCCGTAGGCCCCTAGCTCTAAGCAATGGACGGTTCCCTTGTGCCAGTTGATGGATCCAACATGCCTGTGGATGCTGCCGGAGCTAGCTCCGACAACGCCACCGGCGGCGGTGTGCGAATGTTCGCATCAAGCGCCAATGCGCAGTACAACCGCACCCTGATGAATTCCCTTCAACTGTACAATACCGCAATCTTTGCTTTTGGGAATGATGCAGCCATTAGGTCTGAAGCCGAAGCCCTGCATCAAGCAGCTGTCACGCATTTGCAAGCGGAAAACCGTGAGGAGCTCCGTGTCGCACAGAATCAGCTGCATGCACACTACGCTGAATGTGTGCAAGCCCAGTCGCATAGAATTCGTGAATACGAACAGCGAGTGAGCGATGAGTTCATCCAAGAAGTGAACTTCGCTGAAGCTAGGATAAGCCAAGTGTGTGAGGAAAATGCCCAAGCATTGCATGAAGCGGAAATGGGACACAAAACAACTGAGTTTAGGCAAGCCATCGAATCCACCCTGGCGGAAGCCCAGCAGCTCCTTCATGAGCAAGCTGCCAAGCACGCCGATGACGCAGCCCGTGTTGAAGCGAAAAACGCCAGGATGATTGACATGATGGCCCACCAAAACGGGCTTCTGCAGGACGAGCTCGATGAGCTGAAGAGGTATCAGAAGCAACACGACCTCCGCGAGGATGGATCGAAGCCCAAAGGGGTAGGTGATACCCGAGAGGATTCACCAGAGTTGATGACCGACGACATGAAGTCAGCTCGGTCCCAAAGGTCAATGTTGGACCCGTTGTCCCATCCATTTCAATATGCAAAGGAAAAGTTGAGGTCGCTTGTTACCTATGACGGTTACGGGGTTGAATATACCCCTAGCGTGATTCCAACTGCCGAATGCGAAGCACTGCCCGCAGATGCTCGCGATCCGCAAGGACCAGCTGAAAAGCCATCAGGTAGCAGCCGATCCCCGGTGAAAACAAGCGCACCGGTCCCGCCCCTGCAATTCTCTCAGGGGCCAATGTCAAATGACCGCAAGCAGGGTGGTAAGCCTCCCGGCGGTCCGCCACCTGATGATGATGGCGATGGCGATGGTGATGAAGACGAAGGTGATGGCCTCGGGCCTAACCTCGGCCAAGAAGCATTCGCCAAAATGTTGATGAAGTTAGTAAAAGGCCACACGAACGATGAAAAGCCCAGAACCCGCGAAAGCGAGACGTTGCGATTCAAGGAGATGCCAACTCCTGAAACGTACCGTGAATGGAAGACATCGGTTCGTGAGGATGTCCGCGCTGCATCTGACCGTCCAGACGAGGCTTGGCCTTGGATCATGGAAGTCTGGTCCGATCGCGAGGACAAGAAGAAGCTGTTGGAGGAGCTCGTGGAGGCATGGCTAAACTTGCATTTGTCACCTCTAGTGCACTTCCCTTGGGCAAAGAAAGAACACGGTGCTTTCTCTCCTTTATTGCCTTTGGGGGAACTCGGCCTGCCACGGGTCGCGGAGCGTCCTCGCGGCTCCTTGCGGTGCGCGTAAGGGCAGTTTGCCCCCCTCGTGCACGAGCCCTTCTGGAAGTCAAAGCAGTACTTTTCCTCGGTGTCCTTCGGCTTAGGTGCGCTCTTTTTCTTGGGGTCCCTCTTTTCAGGGGCGGCAGCACCAGCCTTGGGCGTCGGGGCTTTACTGGCATTGACTTTGGACACGCGCTCTCGGTTCTCGCGAAGCCTATCCCTCTCGATTAGATCCCTCATGCAACGCATTAGGAAATCGTACGATTTGTTGGGATCATCATCACGGCAACGATCATATGTGTCAATGTCGTACCGCAACAGATGGCAGCTTCTCACTTGGCGAAGCAAGATGTCTTTCAACACCTTTTCTTCCGGCGGCCTTTTCATGCCGGCAATCACGGAATCCCAAGCGTTTAGGAAACGTTTGAGATCAATGATTCCTTCGCCGTGTCGCGAGACACGCAACAGGTCCTCCAAGGAGTAGAGGTTTCCGGCTTCTTCACTGGTCTTGAAATATTGGTCAAACATAAACAAGACCTGCCTTCCTCTCATGGCCTTTCCCTCCTTGGCACATTCTTCCTTCGCTGTTAGGATTCGCTGAGCCAGATCGCCTTTCGCTGAACGCGTGAGCGCTGCGAGAATCTTCGTGTCTAGGGTCACGAATTTTCCCGGTTTGCCGGGCGGCAAATCTGCCGCCGCGGCATCGAGCAACGAGGCCAACGCAAATCCTGCGGCCAAGAAGCGTGCAAGTTCACCTAAGCCTAAGCCCAAGGCCAAAGCCGCTGCAGCATGCACTAGGTACGCCATGTTTGCCAAGCCGATCAATCCGATTGGGGTGTCGTTTGACACCAATGCTCATGTGCATGAGATCCCCGCCGAAGGCGATGGTTTCAAGCTTGAGTACGAGGAACGGCAGTACAACAGGATGTTTCCAAATGCCAAGGACTGCCCCAGGCCGACCAAAGGGACGAACAAGGCAGCACGCAAGGCCGCGAACCAGTTGAATGCCGTAATCAAAGCCATTGAGAATGGAGCCCAGCCCGCTTGTGGTTTCATGTGCGATGTGGAATCCGATTCCATCTCAAGCCTGTCATGTGATGAGTGCCTGAGAATTGCCATGCCGCCTCACGATGTTCGCAAGGATGTCGAAGCGCCAAGGGCAGCCACCCCTGCACCAAAGGGAAAGGACGTGTGGCTTATTGATTCCGGTAGTGAGCAGGACCTCATCAGCAAAGCTGCACTGAGGAATGCGTCCAAGGCAATCCGAAAACCGGCCCCACAGCCTATTCGCCTTGTGACTGCAAACGGAAACATCACTGCTTCCGAAATTGCCGACATCAATGTCGATGCATTGTGTGAGCCTGCTCAGCCTTACATCCTCGAGAGTTCTCCCGCAGTGCTGTCGCAGGGTGTGAAGTGTCTGGATCAAGGATATTCCTTCCATTGGGAATCCGGGAAGGCGCCAACCATGGTTCGCCCGGATGGTGCTCTGATCCAGCTCAAGGTTGACGGTCATGTGCCATACATGGATTCTAGCTGTGAAGCTGAGCCATCGCTGAGTGCAGTAGCAGCATCCAAGCCAGCGCCTGCACCGGTTCATGACGAAGGCATCGACGAAGGCGATGATCCCGACGACGAAGTTGAGCGGTTTGTGAGATCCCGCAAAGAGCAAGATCTGGTTGCCGAAGCGAGTACCAAAGAGCACTTGTTTGCACACTATCCGAAGAATCCCTTTTGCCGCACTTGCCAACGTGCCAAGATGCTTGCCCCATATGCAAGATCGAAGGGCGGGCAGGGAAGGCTCGAGACGAAAGCGTTTGGAGATCACATCATTGCTGATCATGTGATTCTCAAGGCCAACATCGAGCAAGGTGTCAAAGGTGAATGGTGTGCTCTTGTGATCAAGGACGTGCATACGCAGTTCAGGTATGTTTATCCGTCGACCAGCAAAAGCACGGAGCAATCCGTTGCAGGGATCCAGCATTTCATTTCCGGTAGGGATGAGGTTGAGGTTCTCTACACCGATAACTCCCGGGAATTGAAAGCCGCTATAGAGCAGTTGGGGTACCGTCATCAGACCTCCATTGAATATGTTGATTCTTCCAAATCTTTCGTAGAAAGGGAGATCAGACATCTGTTGGAGGGAGCACGTGCGAATCTTGTTCAGTCAGGGTTTCCACTGTCGATGTGGCCATTTGCAATCCAGCACAATGCAGTTGCGACCAACATCCTGCCACAGTTGAATGGAAACGATTCGCCATGGTACCTCAGGTTTCACAAGACCTTTGATGAAGCTGAGATACCTTTCGGAGCAAAGGTACTGTTCTGGAACAACCCTGCACGAGCTGACAATCAGGCAGGCAAGACTTCGCCAACATCAAATGAAGGCGTGTTTCTCGGGTACCACATTCAGCCTGGGTTCGCATGGAAAGGCGAGTTCCTTGTTGCAAAACTAGAAGGGCTCGATTACCACATGCAACATGCGTCCCTCACGGTACAGCGAACAAAGCGCCTTGAGCTTCCGACTGATGAGTTCATCTTCCCGATGAGGTTGTTGAAAGACCCTGCATCTCATCCACCTGTTGCCAATGCTAGGACACGAGATGATCCTGTGCCGTTGGAGCGTGGGCAAGCCCACATCGAGGAACCCGCCGCATCGGAGAAATCCGAAGCGAAGACCAAGCCTGTCGTGCCTGACAAAGGCGGTGCATTCGACCCGAGCATAATGCCTGATGGGTCACCAGTACCCGATGGCTATGTGTGGGATGGGGTTCGGCTCGTCCGTAGGAAGGCCGGATCCAAAAGGCCTCCCGATATCCCGTCCGACATGTGGGTCATGCTCGGCAGCCAGGACCGAAAGGCCCTAACCCAGCAGTATGAAGATCAGCTCCGTGCAGATGCCAAGAAGGCTGTGCTCGAGACAGCAGTCTCATCGGAGGCCAGATCCGAGCACCCCGAAGCCGCATCGAGTGCAAAGCCGACCAGCGCCGCCCGCGAGGGCGAGCCGACATTGCCTGTGATCCGGCACGCGCCTGCGATGTCCGTTCTTCCGGAACGGGACAAGTCA